ATTGTTCAAGTTTATCACGGTGAGAGCAATAAATTAGCACCCTTGTCGTTTCAGGTAGTGAACATTTAGTAACTACGTCCTTCCTTACTGCCAAAAATAAATTTAAAACAGGTAGCGTTACCTTCAGCTTCATTTTAATCTGTCACTGAATTATCTCCATAATTTATTGCGTCCATGTCTAGTTTATCGTTTATATTAGGCTTATGTTCTGTCTGTAGATCACTAGAAACATGGTCTTTGCCCTTATTGTATCCAGTGGCCTCAATTACTGCCCTTGACCAAAATCCCACGTCGTTTTGATCTTATGTTTTCTGAGCTGCATAGACAATGTGAGCTCTAGTTATAGGCAAGTCTCTTTGATGTGTAATAGCAGCAATTACGGACCGTTTTAGTTAAGTGCGGCCGATAATGGTGAAGGAGTTACTGTCAGTATTTATTGTTACAATCCGATCTCAGGATTGAATATGGAATGATTACTGTATCTGCGTTTTCAAATATCAAATTTTGTATTACCAATCGTATTGGATTTTACTTTTAATGGATTTTTAACCAACGTCTTAAATGGCCTTGGTATGATTAAAACGGTGTACTAAGTTATGTTAATTAATTAATAAAATTAATTAATGACCAACTCCAACCAATAGAACACCGCTAAGGGCTTCATAAACAATCAAATCGTATGTGTGTTTATTAGTTCCTCAATCTTCGACAAATAGTAATTAACGAAGACTTTTCATGGTTGAGGAAGGGCTTCGCGGTTATTGAATAATGGTAGAAAAAATAATTAGAATTTAACTAGGCTTCGAAGAATGGTGGATAGGAAAAAACCGTGTTTATTCTTTAGGTAAATTACTAATTAATTGTCCGATTATCAAAATTGATTACGGTATGATTGAACAAGGAAATCAATGAATTTGTCAAACCAAATCAAAACATCGCAGATAAAAGTTTGTAAGCATCCTATAAATTTTCCAATAGTTGAACGTTGCGTTTCGCGCGTTTTTTGGTAAGTTGGCAACGGGGTCACCTGGTAATGTTCAGTATCAAGATTATGCATATTTAGTTCCTTGAAATATTTTGCCAAAAGTAGGCCGCCAAGGTAAACATTAACTAGCCGAAAGCCTAATGTATGCACGCCTTGAAGCCATATTAACGCGGACAACAGATTCGCCACGGTAACCGTTAATTTCAAATCACAACACACGACAACTGACAACAGGTCCCGGAACAACAATTACATAATAATGGAAACAAAATAAAACTGACATACTTAGATCAGTTGCGTTTAGTCGTATTCCATTGAGTATCGTATCGTACACTTCACACGCGAGGAGAGTTCGTTTGTGGGACGCGTCGCGTGCTCGCGTCTCGAGCGTCGGCAGCAAACTGGATGGCGCGGCGTCCCGCGTCCTTCGGCCGTCGACTTTCACTGTAAATGATAATACTAAAACACCACCAATTTTAACTGCCTCTAATTGTTTGTTATTTCTTCCCAAGCCTGGTATTCTCAAACTGGTAGGTTATTGCATGGCGCTGGTCCTTTTGTCGAGGGTGCGGTGCTTGCATAATGTGAAGTTTGTTTGCAGTTGTTTTGTTTAGAATTTTCCTCGGGCGAGGAAGATTTTATCTAAAATTTATGGCCACCTTGGTCTAATTGTTTATTTACTATGATTGTGCTAATCTAACCTTCAATGCGTCAGGTGTAGATGCAAACATTGTGGATAGATAGATGCACTATTGGAATTTGTTGTCACTGATTTATACGAGTATATACGTCGCAGATAAAAAGTATTTTGTTTAGAAATTAATTCAGATTATCTAAAAAATATATAGCAAAGCGTAACAAATAAACATGACTACTGAAGTAATTTTTTTCCTAGTAAAGTGGTGTAACCGCAAAATATTGACTTAGCAGCAAAACCTTGTCGTTGGCATTGCACATAATTTGTTTAAGTGTGCTCTACACGTGACCATTGACAGGAAACTTCTGTTTTCTGTTCAAAAGACTTAGTACAATTATTTTTATAATGATTCATATCATCAAAAATAGTTTATAAGGGATTTCAAGATTGGAGACTTTTTTTTGTCGGTCGGCAAACGAGCATACGTATTACCTGATGGAAAGCAATCAGCGTCGCCCATGGGTGTCCATGCAACAACAGAGGAGTTACGAGTACGTTGCCGACCTTTTGGGGATTAGGGAATGGGGAGGGGAAGAATTGGACCTTCGGTAACCTCACTCACACGGCGAAATACAACGCTGTGATTGTTTCACGCCGGTTTTCTCATAGTCCGTGGTATCACTCCGGTCGAGCCCACCCATTCCTGCCAAAGCATGGCTCTCCCATACTTAAATGGAGACTCTCAGTCGAGTTTAGGATAGTCAAGGGTTGCTATGTGATGATGATGATGCTAAAAATAATAGAGTCGAGGGCAACCAACGAATAAAAAGTGACAGATTGTCTTTTAGAGGAAAGTTTTATGCAGCAGTAGACATATTTATCTTGGTTCTTTATGTAAGTAATGTAGACAATTTACGTAGCAAAATTAAATTAATAAAAAAATATGTAGGTCCATATTACTTGCTTCATTAATTCTATTATTAATAAATCTTTGGTTAAATCCATTTCTAAGGAATATTTTACGACTACTGCAGTACGATTTTAGCTACATTTGTAATTACTGATTACGTAGGTATCTAATGAGAATATGATAAGTTGTCACATATATGATCAATGGCGAAAAGTGGTCAGTATTCTGTGCACCTGCACCAATCAACCACCTTGCTGTCTAAGGAAACTACTGATCATATATTACATAATACAAATATTGATATAATCTAGATGACTTCATCTCAAATTTATAATTATTTCCACCAAACTTATAATGAAGAATAACAAGATAATAATTATAATAATAACGAAATTGATCGCTATAATTACATTGATATTTGCGTACCCAATGACAGAATCATCATGGTTGATTAGAAATTATGGTGACATTTATATTGCCTTACATAACAAATGATTTTGACAAATTGCTGATTTGTTTAGGTATCATTGAATATGTTGATTTAGAAGACTAGATAGTTATTGATAAACAGGACTGTCTACTATTGCTAGATAGTACTACTATCACTGGTAAATCTAGTACGATGTAAAATCTTTTTTTTATTACGGTGTCATCCAGTAAAATCAACCAGGTTTTTTTTAGTCAGCAAGAGTCAGATACTCCCTTTCGCCTAAACCAGGGCTGGAGTCAGCTTATGACATGATATCACCCCTCGAAAATCCCCCATATAAAACATACAAATTTTAAGTGTGGGCGAGCCATGCTTCGGCACGAATGGATCGGCTCGACCGGAGTGATACCACGAAACAACCACAGAGTTGTGTTTCGCAGTGTGAGTGAGGTTACCGGAGGCCTAAACCTTGCCTTCCCCCAATCCCTAAATCTCCAAATACCTAATCCCCAAAAGAAAGATCGGCAACGCACTCGTAACTCCTCCGTTGCGGGTGTCCATGGGCGGCGCTGATTGCTTGAAGTAAGGCCGTGGTAGGTATCACTCTGGTCGAGCCGACCCATTCGTGCCGAAGCATGGCTCTCCCACACTTATAATAGTTATAATATACACGTAATACGGTACGTTACGGTAACACCGTAAATAAACACAATGATCAATATTAAGAACAGTGCAACTAAAAATAAACCCTCTTTAAGATCCCCTCACTCCAATGGTCCATCACTCCTCCTCACTCGTGTTACGTTCAAGCACGTAACGTATGGAGTGCACCTATTTGTGATATCCTTCAGTATTATGTATGTAATTTTGAATACTTACATAAATCACTTGTCTTATATGAATTTAAATAGATTAAGGCTGATTTTTCAATGGTTGGATAAAAGTTATCTGCGGAATATTCAATAGTCAGATAACATTTATCTAACCATTGAAAAACCAGCCCTAAGAAAGTAAATTTTCAAAATACTTTTTGAAAACTTGCGAAGTAAGCCTAGTTTAACGTATTAAGTAAGGTAAGGTAAATTAAGTAAGGTATAATAATTTTCATTACTTTCTTTTTAAAATAATTGTGACATGATTGTCAAATTATTGATTTCGTCACATATTGATTTGGATTTCTTTTTAACGACTCCACCTATTCTTTTTTATTTCGTAATGGCCAGGTATTTGGCCGTTTTGCCTCGTTGGTAAGCATTTTGCCTCGTCATTTATACCGCGTACATCGAGGGATTGGAACAGTTTGCCGGCTGCAGTCTTTCCTTCCGAATACAATTTAGGTGTCTTCAAGGCTAAAGTGAATAGGCTCTTAATAAACTAGTGCGCCTTACCATCAACGATTGCATCACTGCTTACCATCAGGTGGGATCGCAGTCAAGCACTAGTTTATTGCAAGTAACAAAAAAAAAAGTTATCACGCCTGGTGAACCTACGATGGAGCACGCCTACCCGTAAGCAAACTATTCACTCAGGCCTTGAAGAGGCCTTCCAGGGTTGTTTCCCTTCGAGGAACACAGACTACCTAAGTTTAAGATAGACAACCAACTTCGATTCGATCGACAAACCGTCACTTAATGGTTAACAATGAACCTTGGACATCTGCAACACGGAAGAGTTACAATTTCAGCCACAAACAGTTGCCAGCCATTTTGGGATTAGGGGCTTCAGTATTTGAAGAATGTGGATGGCGGGAGTGCGAGAATTGAGCTACTGGTAACAGCACTCACACAGCGAAACACAATGCTGTAGTTGTTTCAAGCCCTTTTTCTGTAAGGCACGGCCACATAGAAAACGTAACAATAAAAAAACTCGACTGACCCACACTAAAACTACATAACTCTGGAAAGAAAACCCACAAATACGATAGGAAAACTAACCGTAAGACAATATAGACCGAGAGATGATCTCCGGCCACCGTAAGCGCGGGTCTGCGGACCGCGAGTAAGGGTAGCTCGCCGCCGGACCAGAACCAGGCCCGAGCTTACGGCGCGAAGCGTTCCGCGCGCGCCTCAAAGAGCCAATAGACCACCACAGACGGGGCCCTATAGGGCTGATCTTTAGCCGGGGTTGCGGGTAAAGCGCAATGAGTCACCATGGCCTCGGCCCAGAGCAGCACAAGGAACAGACGGGTTTTAGTCAGTAGAGTCTGACACTCTCTCTTGTCTAATCCTGGACGGGAGAAGTCATTTGATGAATTTCCCTGACAAAAAAAGACAGTACCTATAGATATCTTCAAATTGGCTGCAGACTTGGTAAAGTAGCTGACTTCAACTTCGTGTTTAATTTATGTGTAACTTCTGTTAATAGTTGACACATTTTATCCGTCAGTTAAGCTTATACTCGACAGTGGTAAAAAAAGTATGAGGAGTTTTCATAAATAAAAGCCATATTCAAAAACCCTCGTATTAAGAACTACATAAAGGGACAAAGAAGACTTGTATCCTTGTTATTAATAACTCGAATACGGAAGGCTATTATAAAATATCAACTGCGTATAAAAAATATTAAGTTCAAGGCGATCATTTTGCTGGAGCCGAGAAAATTCTTGCTTTTCCCAAAAACGGTATAATGTCACGAACAGAACAGAACCTGGGCGAGTATTTTTATACCGTGCGATTTTTCAATGTCGTCTCCATGTCGTTGAGAGGTCGTTACTAAATTGATTTACTTACATTAAAAGATATCGCTGTCTCTTTTGTCGAGCTTAGTTAATGTATGAGTGTTTTTGACTTTATTTAATTTTATGGGCAATCGACCATAGACGCATTACCTGATGGTAAGCAATCAGCACCGCCCATGGACAAACACCAAAGGAGTTACGAGTGCGTTGCCGACCTTTTAGGGATTAGGGGTTTGGAGATTTAGGGATTGGGGAAGGGGAAGGATTGGGCCTCCGGTAACCTCACTCACACAGCCAAACACAACGCTGTGGTTGTTTCACGCCGATTTTCTGTGAGGCCGCATTGAATTCAAGGGACAATAGTATTACGTTTTTTCCAGTCGAGTATGTGCCTACAAGTGCATTAATGTGTAGAGGCTCGGTTGCAAGAGAAGGAACGGGTTGGTTTTAAGAGAGGCCGCGAGAGGCCATGTGATGATTTTCCTTAGCTTAAAAATGGTATTTTGATTTTCGAAACCTCTTGGTGTCAGGAATGAGCTGTTATATTGTTAAATTATATTCTACCGTTCGTGCATTTCGATAGGCTTACCGCTTAGTCCTAACAAAAAGAAAAAAAAATATTTGTGCATCACTGAGTCTGCTATTTCACAATCGGAAGCTACAATTGATTATTAAATTATTGTGTACGTCTATGAAATGTAAATTGCAGGCGCCATGTTAAAAGCATAGCATTGCTTCAACAGCTTCACCACTTACATACTAAACATATTTTCTCTTCAATCAAGGTATTATACCTTTAAAGGAAAACACAAATTATCAGATGGTTCTATCCCACTTAATACAAATTACAGCAACAATTAAAAAGTAGAAGCAGCACGTCAATCTATCCTATTCTATCAAAAGCCTGTGTTACATTTTAAGCTTTATCTGAAAGTGCTAAAATTGAAAATGTTTCAAACAATATTGTCAGATTTGTATCTTGATGTACAGTTGCAATCTAAATATGCAGTAATATAAGCATTAGACTAGTTTAATGACGCGACCTTGTCCGTATCCGTTAATTGCGCATTCATTTACCACTTCCTTGTAACAACATAGGCTCCTCTGTATAATCGCATTCCAATCAGCTGATCTGACTGCTCATTATTCGTTGGCTTAGGTAAATCCTTTTTTAGTGTTTGCTATTCATGATTGAAGCACTAGAACTCCAAGATAAGTAGGTATTAATGTTTAAGACATATACTGCGATCACCAATATTACAAAATTTTCACGAAATTCAGGTCTTGTTATGAGTAGCTCACAGAAACATTTTTATCACACGCGTATTCCGAAAGACAGTGCTTCTAAGATTCCTAAAACCTTAAAAACAATTGCTGATCAGACCCTGCATCAGATTTTCACTTGTTTACTCCTACTACTACTACAACTTATTTAAATTTGATGTGGAAACAAAAAAGTTTTATCAAAATGCAAACCATACATATTAGAACTTATTAGAATTTGATTATAGGTTGGAATCGCCAATCCACCTTAAGCAAGCGCAGTGTTTAATGCTCCAATCTTTTCCGTGTGAGATGAGGTCTTTGCTCAGCAGTGGGCACTTATAGGCTGATGATGATGTCGATGATGACGATGACCTACGCTCGTTCTGTACACTTAACACAAGTTTTCTCTCTCTCTCTAGTTTTTATAGTTATATCATAAGATTCGTGATTACCCACGAAACGGCCATTGAGTATTGTTCCTTCCATTGAGTCTCTACAAACACAAAACTCATCAAATCCTTGATTGACACAATGATCGGTACTAAAATTAATCCAAAAAATTTAAACAATGGACAAGTAATAGTTATTTGTCACGCAATACCATTTAAAATTAAACAATCAGATAATAAAATCGTACAGTCTGATATAAATGGATTCTTAACACGTAATAAGGTGAACAATCTGTTGAAGTGTAAAAATAAAGTTAAGGCCGACACATTAATTGCAGAATATTGTCTGGTATTGTCATGTTACAATATAATTGTAACGAGAAGGCTGGTGCCCAAATAATTCGCACCTAAAGATTCTTGTTTCAAATGAGCTAGTTGTCAAGTTTGTTATGATCTTCGTGTTGACGATGCAGTTCTCAAACTTATTTTAAATGAAGAAACAATGGCAATGAAACCGACGCGACAAGAATCAAAATCATAGTCTATCTAATTCTAACTATAAGAGAGCCATGCTACGGCACGAATGGGTCGGCTCGACCGGAGTGATACCACGGCCTCACAGAAAACCGGCGTGAAACAACCACAGCGTTGTGTTTCGCCGTGTGAGTGAGGTCACCGGAGGCCCAATCCCTTCCCTCCCCCGATCCCTAAATCTCCAAATCAACCCTAATCCCTAAAAGGTCGGCAACGCACTCGTAACTCCTCCGTTGCGGGTGTCCATGGGCGGCGCTGATTGCTTACCATGAGGTAATCCGTCTGCTCTTTAGCCGACATTATGACAAAAAAAAATCTAGGAAGGTTCCTGATTTAATTAACTGCAACAAAGATAAGGTAATTTATTAAGTACAGTACGTAAATTATATTATCAATATCGTTTTTAGTGAATCAACTCCATTCTGTACCTTACCATCGACTGTCATCAATAGAAAACAATCTTAGTCAAATAAGAAACAAGTGAAAAAACACCATTATACAATAAATTATTATAATTTAATTAATTCTTATTCTTATCGATCGTATTATTATTATTAAAACACAGGTCCCCATAATTAGTGAAAACTTTTTAACGTTTTTACTTCCAAATTGTGATGTTACAATTTATGAATTTTCTTGTTATTTTGTAACACTCTGACCAGGTCTTATTCTGACGACTTCGGGATGGTTAGGATCGCCATTTCCTCTAACAACATACACAACGTTCACATCTTCAACTTTTATAGCTTTAGGTCTTTTAACATAAAAATTATGCTTATGATCAAAGACAAATTCTTCTAAATTTACCGGAGTAGTAGTTTGATAGTGAGAATATATTTGATAATGATTATGTCCTGGGAAGTATACTGGTTTTTCTGTTCTAGAAAAATGTTTTATTTTAAATACTTCTCTTCTATCACCTGATCTATCGTCAGGGAACTTTAGTGTTTTACTGCCTCTTGTTGGTCTTTCTAACTCTTTGTTTATCCTAATATGTTCTCTCTTACTACCTTTTCCGGTAAAACCATCTTCAGGGAACGACCATGTAGAACCGTTATCTTGATAAGCATTAGCACTTTGATCATTTTCATCTTCTAAGATATTAATTGCTGGTTTGTTTTGAATGCGCTCTTGTATTTCACTTTCAGCAGTTTCCATTTCTCCATTTCTGTATCTGTTTTGTCCTTGGTAGTAATTGTGAGCGTAATTTTGGGGATTGATGGAAGGATTCTGGTTGGGGTATCCATAACCTTGACCGTATGGTCTTAAGATCCCGTAATTTTGTTGTTGTTGTGGATGCTGTTGAAATCCATACTGGCCAGATAAGTAATTATAAAATTGTTCCAAGTTCTGTGGTTGCTGAGACTGTTCTGGTTGCCCGAAGAATCTGAAGAATCCTCCATTATGGTTGTTAAGGTAGTGAACAAGTTTTTCTGGATCAGTTGGACATTGTGGATAAGTACGGTGACAAACATTTGGATCCCCCTTCGCAGTCATTCCCGTCACAGCAGCGCGCCCAAATAAGAACAGTGGAGATGAACTCAGCCCATTATACGCTGCAAGCAACCTGGAAATCACACAATTCTTTTTAAGGGTGTGTAAGGTAATAGGCCGGTCCGACTAGAGCCCAAAAGCCAATAACACGGTCTCACAGAAACAACGCCTGTCTTGTTTATATTCATGCGAATCAGATTGCTGCACGTCGATTCTATAAAATTTGTTTGATTTTGAATCGTGTTCGAGTGCGAAGTGAGCGTCGAAGTGACGGGTAAATAAAATTTTTGAATGCCACTTTTAACGTCATTTCATACTTTATCTTTCAAAATGATGCTGTCAATTTAGTTCAACTCGCAAGTGTAGCGCTAGTGTACTAGTACTCACGGCGGATTCAGATTCGAAGTTTAGAACGAAGTCTTACAGAATCACACTGCTGCCAGCAAATCTTCCAAACCGTCGTTGCCAGTCTTGAATGGGCTTTGAGGGATTTGGGGCCATCTCCAAATCCCACCACTAAAATCCCTAAACCCAAGTCTGGCAACGCACTAATAACTCATTAGATGTTACGAGTGTCCTTGAGTAGTGTTAATTACGTCTTCTCGACTGTCCCATAAAAATGTGAACAATTTAAAACACATATTTATATATTTTTATGCAACATTTTCAACTTTAATTTTTTTGTCTATTGCCTTTTATTCTTATCTTTTATTATTTAAATCGGTACCACCTTCTAGTGATGAATGTAAAAAAAACTATTTCGTCAATTGTACAAAATACTTACGTCAACAAAGGCTGTAAAGTCTCAGTAGCCTTGAGGAGTGCTGGTGATGACACCGCCGTGCTACCTCCAGCCACATCACAGAGTATCTTGGGCACGCACTGATAGTCGTCATATAGCGCTATCGAGGTCAAGGCTTCGGCTACTGCCGATACTGCACGCTGGGTCAACGACTTGGGGCGACGAGACGGCCCTTTAAAAAATAAGACATATTTGGTAAAATTGTAAAACTTGTGTCAATTTTTTCATGTTAAGGACCAGAAGGCCTGGATTTTAAACGCAGAAGGTCTCTCTGTTAATAGTAAAAATTTAATGAATTCGAAAATTTTTGCAATAATAGGCCTTTAGAGGAACGATAACCTGCTTAAAAGACCTCTGCTAAATTACTATGAAAGAATAAGACCTTCTGATATATAAATAAGACATTCTGAGTCCAAATAATGTCTATTAAGACTTAACTTAATTTTACTATTTAATTAATTTTATACGTATTTAAAATGGTATCTCATCAACCACAAAAAATGCAACTTAACTAAAAGATCCGATTTTTGTTCTAACCAATATGTAAGATTCAACAACGTATAAGGACGAAGCAATCAAAATGTACCAGGATTTTTTTTATATTTTCAACAACTGGTCATTTAAATTTAATTGTTGGTGTAGGCGTAACAATGCCTCCAATTTAATTTAGCCCATCGACTGGACCACAGTATAATGGCGTGTAGCCTGTAGGTATTATTTGTACGCGATCATCATTGTCCTTGAACTCTTGTTATTGAACTTCACAATGATCGATCTTTTGTTTACGTATCACAAAAAAGCAATCAATGCGTTGTAGCTTTAGTCTAAGCTTGATTCGTATGTATTGTTCGATTACTGCAGACTGGACATTGATGATGGATTATGTAATGTATTAGAATTTATAGATCAAGGTCACGTATCTCTATTTGCTAAAATAACTAGCTCTTACCCGCAGCTTCGCTCTCATTCTTTGACTACCTCCTCTACCTACCCTACCTAACGTACCCGACCTACTCGTACCCTACCCAATCCTATGTCCTTCTCTCAGTTCTTAGCCACCTTCTTAACAATTTTCAACCAAATTGGTTCAGCCGTTCTTGAGTTAAATAGTGTAACGAACACAACTTTCTTTTACTTGTTGATAATTTCAAGAGCAACCTACCTTGACTATATTTTAGAATATAAAAGGAACATTATCAAAATCTAGAGAACAATTAAAATCAGATTCCAAATAACACGATCTGTTTTATCAAGTGGCGACATCTGTGCAGGCTGGCTAGGTGACTCAGTCACTGAGCCGCTAGGACCTCTCACCTTTGTATTGTTTGTATCAAGTATGCCTGTTGACCGCGACCTCATGCTGGCACTAACTTGATCTAATGGACGCATTGTTGTAGTACAAACTATTTGCAAATATCTGGTATTTCAATGGATTAACATGCCAGATATTTGAAGTACTTAGTGTCCAATAAAGACGTGTGTGCAAATTATGAATATATAAAAAGATCGAATAATAGAGCTATTCTTCTTATCATAATACCAGATATTGTTTTCTATTTTTTGCATATTCATGTTTTAAGTCCTAGACAGAATATTATAGCACTTTTACAAGTACAAAATTGAAAACGAAATAAGGATTTTTGCCAGCTTGGGAATCATAAAATATCTAAGGCTAACATTTATATAATAACTAGCTGTATCCTGCGATTTTACCCGCGCGTTTTTAGCCTATGCTCATGTTCACTGAGGATAGTGTAGATTCCTAACTGCGAATGAATTTTTTAAATCGGTCAAGCAGTTTTGAAGCCTATTCAATCCAAATAAACAAACAAATCTTTTCTCTGTATGACATTAGTAAAGGTATGAACTAATAAGTACTTATTGGATAAGAAAATTTAACTTACTTCCATTTCCATTCTGATACCCGGGTTGATTTGCTCCCAGATATCCATAGCCTGGTCTGTGGCCAGGGTTATGTGTGTTGGGATCGCTTGTATAACCTTGAGCATAACTAGGGAAGGGATAGCCTTGATAGTATGGATTATCTAGATGTCCATTTTGTGTGGACCCTACAGGTGATCCAGGGTTAGAATATGGTGGAGGATATCTGGAAACAGACAGTCCATTTGAATTGCCAGTAGCCGGAGTCGGATAAACAATAGGATTCGACTGTGGCCTTTGATATTGCGACTGATAGCCTTGCGGTGGATTTCCGCCATATCCTGAATTTATTGGAGGGTATTGATAGGTCGGATAAGATGGAGTTGGATATCCAGGGTATAAAGAAGTTGAAAATGCTCCACCTGGATACAGAGGCGTTGGAAGTGGTGCTCCTGGATATGGGGTCGGGTAACCAGGATAAGAAAAGCCCAGAGCTGAATGAGCGGGTACAGGATAACCAGAAGCTGCTCCTTGATAGTTTGGATAACTTGATTCACGATATGGTGAATAGGGATAGGTTGGATCTTGACTGGGGTGTTTTGTTTGATAACGAGGTTTTCTGGATTTTCTAGTTTTCTTTCGAAACGGTTCTTGCTTTTGGTAACTATCATCAATGAAGGCTACTCGTTCAGTTACAGTCTCTTGATTTTTGGTGTTGATGCTAGATTCCTGATTTTCGAATTTAATTGGTTTAGCGACTGTTTCTTCTCCTCTTTCAGTTTCATCGGCATATATAGCATCATCTTCGTTTGTACCATTTTCTTCAAATACAACTTTTCCAGTGCTCCTTTGAGAATCATCGTCTTCTTGATTATCATCAATATCGTCGTTTATATCATCATTATTTTCAAATTTAATCTTTTTCCCTGTATTTTTCCGGTTTTGTGTAATGTTATTAGAAATGTGATCATTATTACTCAAGTCTTCCTCATTATCAAATGATATATCTGCTAAAAATAAGCTTGGGTCTACTTTGTCAACATCAATCAGTTCTTGTCCTTCAGGACCATCTTCGAATTTAATTGGTCGATCTGGAGGTTTGTCATTACGACTAATTTGTCCATAATTTTGTAAATTAGAACCGACAGTCCTGTAAAAATAATAAAAAAATAATTATTTTGCTTAAAATATATTAACATAATTAATTTGTTACACTATAATAAAATATTTTTTAACATAATCTTAATTCACTGACAGGTAAAATTACAAATAAATATAGTCATCGTTGCTATTAGAAAATTATTCAACAAATTTATTTATAACTGAAATATCAATATATCTAGTTTGTCATTTAAACACTAAAATACAAATAAGAATACTTACGAAGACGCCCCAGGGTCGTAAGTAGTAATTAAACTGTTTTGTTTCTTCTGCTCAACCGCGCATGAGTCGTTCGCCAATAAAAGAAAAATAATACTGCTTAGTATGTTAATTCTCATATTGTCTAATCTGAAAATATAATAAATACATAATATTAATGTTAAATAATTAATTATTTAGTTACATTATAATTATAAATGTAATTTTTTTTTTTTGTTATGGTGACATCAGAAATACTATATGCAAATCAGGTGTTTCGTAACTTGCTATGATATTTTGATCAGGCGTAATAAATGTTGATTTTTATGTAACTGTATTTAAAAATAAAACATTAAGTTAACATTTTTAATTTTAATGATGAATAAACAGAAATTATTATGAATATTACATTATTCAGGTTTCGCTTACATTCGAAGATATCTATGTATATTAGTACTTAGGTACATGCTTATATTATTATATTTTGACGAGACGAGTGTGAAAATAAATTAGTCGCAGTACCTAAGTAATTTAACAATATATAAACAAAACTGAAAATAAAAATTGACCAAGTAGGTACATCGACTGCACGGTTGGCGCAGTGGCTATGCAACTGGCTGCTGTGCATAGTGTCGCGGGTTCGATTCCCGCACGGAACAACACTTTGTGTGATCCACAAATTGTTGTTTCGGGTCTGGGTGTGTTGTGTATGTGAATTCATATGTTTGTCAACGCACCCACGACACAGGAGAAAATAGAAGTGTGGGGCAACGTTATTAAAAAAAAATCTGTATTATTTACATTTCCAGAGCACTGAGCTTAAAATCACATTAGCAACAAATAAGCAAACAATCACTGACCAACGAAAGTGTTCAATAACTAACCACTTTAAATATGAATGCAAAATAATTAAAATACCTATAGAATTACAAAACATTTTAAAAAAATATGACAAAAGTAAACAACACTTTTCTAGTCACTAAAAAAATAAACAATAATATTACTCACTTTAAATATCCTTATGACACTCACATAAACAGTGTATTCTCTTAAAGAATCAAAGACAAAATGCGGATATTTGGAGAATTTCTCCTCTCGGCGGCGTAAGGAAAGTTGTCCATTATGCATTGCTAATAAGGATATATGATGCGACCGTTTCAAAATGGCGTATCCTTGTTCAAAATGGTCATAGTTGAATAATACTGAATGTTATAACATCGTAATAAACATCACACCATATAATGTTCATATAGGAAAAGGGAAAGTAGATTTTTCTTTTGTTACAATACATTTTTTAGATATAGTGATTTTATAAGACGGGTTTCCATGAACGAACATAAATAAAACAGCTTTATCCCTATAAGTAGATGGGAAAAATACACGTAGAAATGTTTTCATTTTCCATTGAAATCCATACAAATCATTACGCCCGCCTCCACATGGGGTGGGCAGATAATTAAAAACAAATTGACTCGATTCTGAACTACCGCTTTCGCTTCTACTTCTTGACAATTGTGATTGGTTTTAATTGACTTAAAAAATCGCCCAGTTGGTTGATATATTTTATGTCCGTCTGAGAGCGCCCTCTGTCGAATTTCTTAACCATACTTGCTCGATAAACCTCATTCGTAAACCTACTAGCACCCATCTTTTAAATCACCTTCCTCTTCCAATTGTTGTCACTCCATGTTCTGTCCGTACTCATTTTTTTCAGATCACTCTATCTATCAATTTTACTCCACACATACATCATATTGTTACATCTTCCATACTCGTACATGTAGTAGACTTTTCACCATCAATGGTATTTGATTTCAGTACCTAAACCACTGATCAATCACACAAAATATATCTAAAATCAAAACAATATACAAACGCATTCCTAGGAATTGTAGCACTAAAAGAAAAGCTTTTCAGAGATATCACAATTGGGTGGTTTCCTAGGTCAAAAATAAATTAATTCGACGTTTTAATACGATAAAATTTTGAAACATAACTATACTTTTATTCATCGATCGATCGATACACTAAGTTTTAGATATTTTTTACCTAATTTTTTAAAAATAAGTAAGCTATTTGACGCAACAATGTTATGACGTCATAATTCAATGTTTCATACAATTTTCATAGAAAGGTATCGTTTTTGACATTTGGATAAAAGTATTGAATTTGACTAGTTGGAAACAACCGTATTCTTGCACCCCATCCATCTGACCACAACAGACAGAACCAGGATCTACTTGAATCCATTTCACAACACTAACACGACTTTAGTAATTAGAACAAAGCTTCACATTGACCTTGAATCGATACTCGACAGTTTCATCACAAACCCACTGGGCCGGTATCGATAATAATCGGCTAACGAGAATCGTTGGGCAACTCTATTGACGGGTTGACAGGCGCGTGGACGCGCATGCACCACTCTAGTGACAGACAAGTACTTAAATTGTTAGATAGTGGTTGTTCAACTGAATGGTGAATCAAATCACCACTTCAGCGGAGATGGATCACGAATGCTCCTTATTACAATGCAGAGTGAACAGTTTGAGCAATTTAGGTTGATTGATATGGGTCACGTGGGTTGGTTCCTTGAGCCTTACTTATGAGGACCCTGATATCTGATAGGGGAAAGTAAATGACTTGACTGTAGAAGGTAATAAGTCTAAAGTTGTTGTTTGGGTAAAATAAAAAAAATGTATTGTGTTTCGCCGTGTAAGTGAGGCAACCGGAAGCCCATATCTCTTCTTCCCTCATCCCACCCCAATCCCCAAATCAAGTGTGGGAGAGCCATGCTTCGGCATGAATGGGTCGGCTCGACCGGAGTGATACCACGGCCTAACAGAAGACCGGCATGAAACAATCACAGCGTTGTGTTTCGCCGTGTGAGTGAGGTTACCGGAGGCCCAATCCTTCCCCGCCCCCAATCCCTCCTCAATCCCTAAATCTTCAAATTCCTAATCCCTAAAGGTCGGCAACGCACTCGTAACTCGGTGTCCATGGGCGACGCTGATTGCTTACCATCAGGTAATCCGTCTGCTCGTTTGCCGACCAACTACCTACATAAAAAATCCACAAAATCCTTGTCCCTAAACGGCCGGCAACGTAGTCACAACTCTTTAATACGCTGCAGAATTGTGTTTAATTTGCAACCGCTCTTTTTAGAATCCTTTTCCAGGACATTTCTTGAGGAGAATCATGAGATCACAGTTCCGGCTGAATAATATTAACAAGTCCATATTAGCGTCCTAGACCATATCAGAGGTTGTAAAGATTGACATATAAGTATGGTGTCTTTGGCCGACGCCCACTGACTCAAAATGACACACTTTCCATAGAAATATACGTAAACGTTTAGGTACTTGCGATGTTGACCATGCTCTAAATGACATTAATGATGACAAAATTCATTTATTTACTCTAAGTTCTAACGAACTTACTATTTGCATAACTTGTTTAAAGGGAAAAATAGATGATGGCAAACCTCCCATTTGTGCAATTTGCAAATAAAAGAAAAACTAAAATTTCACTGCAAGGATATATCTGAAAGACCCGAGCGCACGTGCTTTGCGCCGGAGGTCGTCGGGGTTGCGATCACAAGCGCATTGATGTATAGCGGCCTGACTCTGAGTAGGAGACGGAAGGTTGGTTTAGAGTCTCTAAGAGTCTCTTCTCTTACTTTTTTTGCCAGGGTAAAATTATCAAATTTCTTCTCCGGCCAGAGTGGGACATGAGGTAGGTAGTGTCAAGCTCTTACCGAGTAAAAACCCCACCGTTACTTCTTCATCCTTAGGCTGAGGCCGCAGTGGCTCATTGCACTTATCCCGCTACCCCGGCTGAGTCTCTACGAGCCTGACATGTCCATCTCGCGCGATCCAGAGCGAGACAGGGCGAAAGAATCAGCCAATGACTACTCCCACTCTCAAAACAAAGACAAGTCTTCAAAAAGTGACTGTCGAATATGACTTAGAGCGATTTAAGTTTTTAGAAAATTGTCAGTCGTAGGTGTAATTTAACAACACAGCATGGGATCAGAAGACATCTACAGCGCTGCATCACACACAACAGAACAGTTCTGTGTTTCGCTGTGTGAGTGAAGTATTTAGCAGTCATCCCTTCTTCCATCAATTCCTTATCCCTAAATGCCCTTATATCCAAAACCTTATGTTGCAGGTGTACATAGGGTTCGATGATTGCTTACCAACAGGTAATCCGTTCGCTCGTTTGTCGTCACATAAACAATCCTAAGCCTAATCCTTAATTAAAACTCATGATGCTTAAGGATGGATCAGGACCGATTTCCAATCACTTACTGGTAAGTAGGTGATCAAAATGACCCTCGATGTCACTTAGACTTGCATCTGAAACATTAATCAGCTCGGCGCCATTATAATCACAAGTTTTGTTGTCTTTGATCGTGACATGCGCAGGCGCAGTGCTCAGTTGCGTTTCGACAGACTCATGATAATGGGATTTATAGCTCAAATTTCAATTTTGATTCTTTTTTCATGTATGTTCTAGGTTATATTATGTAGTTCCACACTTTTTAGCTATAAATATTTCCTATTTACTGTGAAATAATTTACAGGAATACAATATAATATTCCAAAACAGAAACGGTGAGCAGTGAATGAGTTATCTAAAACTGTGTTTAGGAAATAAAAAAAATTAAACAATTATGTGTATTTTTTTAAAGTAATAATATATTGAAATTTTAATTTACTTCAAAGTAACTCCAAGCAATGTCAATGCCATCTAGCGAAGACTTATCGTATTAATAAATTATAAGTTCGTTCTAGTTACAACAGATAGCACTAGTAGTTCTTTCATTCTAACAAGATAAATGTTTTATGAAAATCGGATAAGATCTCAACTACTACAAATTTTAATATTAATGAAGAAAGAATATATTTCCTTTGTTGCAAATTGTTTTCATCTACCGGTTTAGGCAATCTAACTTCTCATAATCCAAAATCTCTGGATTGATCTCTATTTCGCCAGAAACTCCACACAACATATGACCAGTTTCAAGTGTGGGAGAGCACGATTCCGCGCGTATACCTAAGCCGGCTTGACCGAAGTGATATAGCAGCTTCACAGGTAACCGGCTTGAAACAACGCTTTCATTGTGTATTGTCGTGTAAGTGAAGTTACCAAAGGCCCTCCCCTATCCCCAATACCTAAATCCTCCGAACCTTAAATCCCTTAAAAGGCCAGTAGCTAATTTTTCCTCACACTCCTCTGGTGTTGTGGGTGCTCCATGCTCCATAGCCATCAGTTGATTCCACTTCTCGCCTTTGCCGCCTAGCTTCACTAATGCTTGAGCCATACTACCTAACGGAAAATGCCATTCATTATCGCAATAATCGACGTTAATCCTAAGTGTACTTTGATCACTAAACAAATGACTTAAGGTATATTTTTCATTGTTTAATATTATTAATTATCGCGATAATCATTGGCATTTCCCGTCAGTGTGGCCCCAGCATTAGAGGACTCACCGACAGGCTGACACTTTATCTTTAAGTTTAATTGACGTTCAAAAGTGCCTCATCATCATCATCATCATCATCAGCCTATAAGTGCCCACTGCTGAGCAAAGGCCTCTTCTCACACGGAGAAGGTTAGAGCATTAATCACCACGCTTGCTCAATGCGGGTTGGTGATTTCAAACTTATAATTAGAAATTATAAGTCCAGGTTTCCTCACGATGTTTACCTTCACCGTATGTCAGTGGTGTCTAAATAATCATAGAAAGTACATATAACTCAAAAGTGCCTGCAAATGTGAAATTGAAATAAATGATTCTGACTTATGAAAAAATAACAATTATCGATATCAATCTTAATCTACAGATTTTGAATTAAGATCGATTTATAACATCGCCTCTCGTCTATTGCATGGCAAGAAAAAACGTTGATACTAAAGTTTATTATATTTCAACCTAGGCACTATTACATAATTATCATAATCACCTAACTACCCGCATAGTTACATTAGGTTAAAATAATTCACTGCTTTATATACTTGTACTACCTACTTATTTTCTATCATTACTTTACCACGTAACTACTAACTGTGCCATAGTCATAAATGGCATATTTGACATTTGCATAAAATACCAGTTACATAATCTTATGTATTAAAATGTATTTCTGTATGTTAGTCTCGTAAAACCTCGAAAACGGCTGAGCTAACTCAGTTAATTTTGGTCTTGAAGAATTAGTGGATGTCTAGGAAAGGTTTAAGGAAAATTATTATTTGCAAATCGATAGGAAAAACGTAGATGTGACATTACATATTCGACAAGGATGTAACTTCTACGTAACACGATGTTCCGAATGACTGTAATGACGAATCTTAGGGTACAAAAAAAGACGTATAAAAGGTAAAATATTTAATGCTTCTTTATGCTCAAAAATTAAACAACTAATTATTTCTCCTATAGTGTTAAAATTGGCATTAAGGTATCGAATCAAAAAACCATATTTCCGTGAGACGATTTTTTTATTTAAATGTAAAGAAATAACCGTTCAAAACAATGTAGGTATTGTTTTTACTAAACTTTGAAGATAAGAGATCAACAACAAAAATAAAACCTTTAAAAAAAGCTAATTTACAATACCTATCTACAAAGATGCCACATGATTAAAAAACATTGGTGGTTTTGTATATTTTATTATATCTGTGCCTGTGCGAACAGGACAAAAACCTTTAACTTATATACTTGATTTATATATTTTTTCCAATTTTATTTTTTTGTCGTCTTTGGTTAAACCTAATCTGTATTTTGCAAAGTAACTTACAATTAGGGCTTCATTTTTCTAGCTATAGCATAACAATATTTTCTTTTATTTTAATTTTTATTCGATCCATTCATCAGTTCTTTCATTCACATACTTATTACGGTCAACTCAGATTTGAGCCAGGAACTATTTATTTATAACATTCGCTACTCCTACCAACAGTACTAACAACCTCTCACGCCCGGCCTTAGTCGAGGCCATGGTGCGGAGCGAGAAGAACTGGGACGCCGTCTCCTCCTTCTGTATGCTCGCAAAGAGGAAGACGGCCCGTGTGAGGGAGCAATCCTTCTCCTCAAGATAAGTCATTTGATGATATTCCCCTCACAAATAAAAAACCAACAGTGGTAACACTGACTCAACACAATAGTCTTTGTAATATAACCTATACCCATTTCATAAAACTTACATCAAAAAACGAGTTCAACGGTGCTTTTATTTTCATAGATGTCAGAATATAAGACTATATTGCATTACACGATTAACCTAGTCTCACAGACAACAAGTTTAGCAGTCAACAATAAACAAACGATTAAGAACTATGGAAAGACTCTACTATAATACCTGTCCAAAATATGTTATTTTATTACCACACAAGGGAGCTAAAAGGCGCCAGCTAACTAAGTAGTCTTCAAGAATGAGTAACTTAAATTATGGCAAGAAGATGTAAGTGGCTGGATGGTGAAGATGCCAGCCAATAACTGATTGTTTTTAATGACCCAACCTGCATCACTTGGTCACACAATTTCATCCTATGGACCTCGAATGATGAAAAGATAGACCAGCCTACTGGCCCCCAAACTCACGACTTACCGACACCTCATTTCATATCGCATCTGTGTGTATTCGTAGATAACATTAACAAATAAAAATTATTATCGTTGTTAAAAATCAATTATCTGACTGTACGGTTGGCGCAGTGGCTGGGCAACTGGCTGCTGTGCAACGTGTTGCGGGTTCGATTCCGGCACGGAACAACACTTTGTTGTTTCGGGTCTGGGTGTGTTGTGTATCTGAGTTTGTATGTTCGTAAACGCACCCACGACACAGGACAAAACCACCAAGTGATGTACGTTTTCCTTTGCCCTGGGTGCCTTTACAAACATACACATAATTCACATACACAAACCACTCAGACACGAAACAACAATGATGAGCACACAAAGTGTTACCGTGTGGGAATCGAGCCTGCGACACATTGCACAGCACCCACTACATCAACCGTGTCCTCAAATATACTTGACATTCAACAAAAAGTAAGTAGGAGCAATAAGTTTTTATTAGCCAATAATAACAAGTCTCAGGTAATTATGTTTTTCGTACTTAATAAAAAGAATATTTAAATTCCAAGATCCGTTATCTCGTTTATAAAAAACTTAACCTTTGTTTTACATATTGTTACCAATCTATTCTTTTTTATACCGTTACTATATTTTGGTATTCTAATTCTAACTACATCTATATTTTGAACAAATCGACTACCTGATGGTGAATGACCCATGGACACTCACAACAGAAGATCTGTGTTGTCGACATTTTGGTGGTTAGGGATTTGGATATTGGGAGCAGGTAGGTGAGGATCAAAGATTAGACCTCCGGTTATCTTCGCGCAAGCGTGGTTTCACGACGCGACAGTTTTCTGTGAGACCATGGTGGTGAAGAATCGGCGCCGCGGATCGATGTAGTTTTTTTTCGAATTTGTAGCTAAGTCTTTTTTTTAATTGCCTGTAATGTACCACTGCTGGGCAGAGGCCTCCCCATCTCGCTTCCACGCCATCTTTTCTGGGGCCTACCCCGCATGCGGCCTCCATCCTGAGGTGTCCGTTGAGTAAGAATAGTGGCCCATCTATCCGGATGCATTCGGCTGACGTGTCCGGAACGTGAAGTGACGTGTTCGGTGTCTTCTGTTTAAAATTTTAAGGTTTCTAATCTTATCCCGAGGTTTTCAAGTATAAGAGAACTGAATATGTGAATGTAAAGGACAAGGTTTGTCGTTTCATCTACTGCTTTAATCAAAACAGTAAAATGTAGTCTATGGTTTAGTTATTTTCTATAATAAAACAGTAAATAGGATAATAACATCAATGCCAGTAAATAAATACAATTAAAATACGAAACGTTGCTTCCATCCTTGTAAATCTAAAACACACAACAAATTTAATGTTTATAGTTCACACGCAATACAATAAATAAATTTAGTTAGTTAGTTCTAACGATCGACGTAATATTTATATTAATGACTTTCAAAATTACTTATAGATACATTCTTAAATAAAATCAACAAATTCTATTAAGATAACAATGTTTTATCAATGAGCTTACAAATTGAAAGATTTGATAACAATGGTGTCATTTAATGGGAATTTTGTCGTAACAAAATGTTTACGGTTCACACCTCTACTTACCTTTTTGGCTTTAAGAAGTCGTAATAATATCGAAAGAAAACAAGGCTTGCCTCCTGCCGCTGATTGATTTTTTGTCACCATGACTTTTGTTGCTGTCACCTACTGTCATTCAGGATGCGATCACTGAAACTTCGAGAAAAATTGCATACATTTGTATGGATTTCAAAATGGAATAAGCAAAATTAACGAAAGAAAAAACATAGTAATAGTAGGTATAGAGGAGAAGGAACGGAATCGTTTTAAGTCAATAAGTGTTTCTACTTTCTCTATCTGTCCGGCCCATGCAGAGCGGAAGAAGTCATAATTATAATGATTTTTCAACCATAAAAATACTTGGCATTGGTAGGTACCATGTCAGATGACCAAGTAACGAAAATCACCGCCTAAATGAGAGGTAGCTCGGCAACAACCCAGATGTGATTGATGGATGATACAAGAAAAAATAGCAATCTTAAACATGAACCAAAGCAATGGAGATTCTTGCCCGTTCTTCTCCATTCAAATTTATATTTTGGAACGAGCAAATAGCTCTACTGACGAACAGATTGACACACTATTATTTTAATTTGACGCTCCAAAAGTACCTATTTATAGTTTAGTAGGATTTTGACGTTGACTTTGACTTTGAAACAACCAAAAGAAAACGATCATCATCGTCAGGTTATAAGTGCTCACTGCTGAGCGAAGGATTGAGCATTAATCAACGCGTGCTCAAGGTGGATTGGCAATTTGAAAACTTATGATTAGAAGTATCTCAGTGGTGTCTTAATTAATTATATAATTAATCTTAGAAAGGAGGTACAAACATATAATTGGGAAAAAGATCACGTTCGTAGATACTTTATTTTCTTTATGTAATAGGTCGGCAAACGAGCAGACGGATTACCTGATGGTAAGCAATCAGCGCCGCCCATGGACACCCGCAACGGAGAAGTTACGAGTGCATTGCGGACCTTTTAGGGATTAGGGATTGGAGATTAAGGGATTGAGGAGGGATTGGGGGAGAGGAAGGATTGGGCCTCCGGTAACCTCACTCACACGGCGAAACACAACGCTGTGGTGGTTTCACGCCGGTTTTCTGTGAGGCCGTGGTATCACTCCGGTCGAGCCGACCCATTCCTGCCTAAGCATGGCTCTCCCACACTTACTTACTAGGTTTTGAACTGCAACATCATCCACGAAAAGCGCCTTAAACTTCGAACCGTCAATACCTGAAATGATAAAATAAATGTATTGTGAAGATGCTGTACCTACTTGAGGAAAGTCATAAGTACATATATACTTGTATAGGAAGAACTCGTGAATACGTGATTATACTTTGTCCTTACCTATGAGCTACATTCAATGTTACGCTACGGTACAGGGCAAGTTGAGAATCAGCCTTTTCCAAAATAATCCAGGTAACAATATGTTTAGTTGGTAGCTTAATTTACATTTTTCTTCAATTTTACGGTTACGAATACGATTTCAAAGATTCATTAACGAATATTTATTGTAAATGGCGTTCACATAATTCAGTTGAAAATATTTACAAGCTTTAGTAGCCATTGTCTACAAATTCTTCATTCTTTAGACAGTTCGATCGTAGAACATGTAGAACAATACTAATGGTTGTAGACATTTTAATGTCCGCGTGGAAACATCCTTATCCAAACTAATATTATAAATGTGAAACGTCCTGTCGCTGTCTGTCTGTCTTTTCTTCGCGCCTAAGCTACTGCACCTATTTGTGTGAAATTTGGTACAGACGTAGTTTGGAACTCAAAAAAGGACATAGGACAGTTTTTAAACCAAAAATCCTCAGGAAGTCACTATTCCACGAATAAAGTCGCAGGCAAAAGCTATTAACACCATAAGGTACGGTTGGCGTTGTAGGTAGACAACAGGCTGTCGCTTAGCGTATCGCAGGTTCAATTCCAGCACCGAACAACTATTTATGTGATCCACAAATTGTTGTTCCGGGTCTAATTATATGTTTGTAAACGCCCACACAAGAGTAACATAAAAGATAACAGTTTAGTGTGATAAAAAACAAGTACCTAAATCATTAAGTAAATAGACACAGATAGATGATGATGTTGACGATTGTTCGATGTTGTAGCTGTCTATCAAAAAAATATATTGAGCATAGCATATAGTATTTCGTATATTTTTAATCTTAGAATGCAATAAGAAGGCACTCAATTGATAAATATTCTAAAATATCGCACATCTTGCCGAATATTTAAAATTAACAGTTATCCAAACCAGTTTAATTGAATCTGTTTTCTAATTAGTAGTCATGTTGTAGATACCAACCTGTTTTAATGTGATTTGTATAGAAAAACACACCATTACCAAGCCTGATAATTTTCTAGAATAGTCTTAAAGTATAAAGTCTGCAGCAGAAGTTATAAATATTAATATACATTTAGCACTGCCTATTTACATATCAAACATAATTATCATTATAAGTCGTCACATATCTACAATGCTAAAAAAATTGATGATCAATTTTAGAGCCTAGTCTCTAAAAACAATTTTTGGAATGTGCTCGGAACAAAAATGAGAGGAAGTCATTTTTGAAGGATTTAAACCTCAAATACGCTTAATGTGGGATTGATACAAACTATTTTGTCTCGACCGACTTCTGTAATGACATACAAAATTATTGATAACTTCCGTATAGTGAACGCCGGCGTTCGCTCACTTATTGTGTTTTTATTGTGTCTCTAGTCTTTTATATGAATAAGTTTTATGTAAATATGTCTAGTCGTTGTCATTGTATATTACCTACGACACTCGAGTCCAGTTAGTATAAGAACGTACTGATTTCTACCTTGTACCGCTACAACTCATTCATTTTCCTCTCAGTGTAATGTTTGTCAGTTCGAGTAGTGGTCGTGCTTAGAAGTTTAAATTTAAAAAAAATATTGTTTTGTTCAGTAGTGAATAATGTTAGCACGGATTTAAGGTTGGTATAGTTTTAAATAAGTTTTTTTTTCTGTTACATTTGAATCGAAATTTTAAAGTGTGAAAAAATATTGCTTACATATGTATTTTGATCCAATAATAAGTATTTTTTTAAATATTTGTAATGAAATATTTCCTTTACAATATTCTAAAATTTTTAAATAAATGTACAGTTTATTAAAATACATACAATATTATTGTTACTTAAGCATGTACCTCTTACCTAGATCTTCATAATAATATTAATAAATTTTTATAAATCGAATCTACAATAAAAAATAATTGTCACAATTATTTTTTCTCCATTACACTCCAGTAACAAATTAATAGATATTTAATGAATAAGTACATAGGTCATTTATAAAGTATTATTTATAAATATTACTTATTAATGATTTATTTAACAAACAACATTATTCTAATGATATATTTATCATTATATAAGTACGTTAGTTACTTGAATTTGCAGATTCCAAGGTCTCCCATTAGAATTTGTGGTTGACAAAATTGTCTACTTCATCTTGTAAGTAATTGATGTTGAAAAAACTTTGACAAACATTTAAGTACTTAATACAAATACACCTCACAATAAATGATACCTCTTAATGTATTTATCACGATTTATATGTATAGCTCAAGAATAGAATGAATCATCCACCATTGACTTACCTTTAAGATATATTAGGTATAACTAAGCAATTTAAACCCTAACTTGCCCAGACATAATAAAAATGTGATTTTTAAAGCGTTGCCACGGACTAGTATTTTCTCTTGTGTCGTAGGCGAGTTTACAAACATACAATTTAACATACCTACACATCACGACCTGATACGTAACAACAATTTGTAGATCACACAAAGAGTTGTTCCGTGCGGAAATCTAACCCGAGACACGTTGCCTAGCCACCGCGCCAACCGTGTGGTCAAAATATTGCAATAAATTACAATAACCAAATAACCTAAACATGTTGTATAGGTACATATCATACAGTTGAAAATTATATTTGAAAATAATAATAACTGGAATAATAGTTACTTAGATACCTAGTCCATTTATCGAGGAAGACTACAGACCTTAAATGATCACGATAAGACCAATAGAAACCCATCCAGGGTTACATGTGCCAGCGTAAAATATACAGCGGAGGAGAAGGTACAAGGCCCAGGGGGTTTACGGTAACTAAGAGTCTGGCACTCCCTCTCCCAAGGCGAGAGACATTCGATGAGTATCTGGTCTCAACAAAAAATACTAATGGAAATGGCTGCTCTGTAAAGGTAACTTGTAGGCATCTCTATACGCTAACAGAAAATATTCTTTCTTCTTTTTTTAAAAAAAAAACGTTCCCCCACACTACGATTTCCTCCTGTGTCGTGAGTGCGTTTACAAACATACAATTTCAAATGCACATCACACCCAGAAACAGAACAAAAATCTGTGAATCACACAAAGAGTTGTTCCGTGCGGAAACTGAACCCGCGACACGTTGCGCGGCAGCCAGTTGCCCAGCCACCGCACCAAACGAGCAGTCTAAGCATTAGTCGCACTATTAGAATTTGTGACAATTTCAGTTAGTAATGAATCCTTGTAATAAATTAAGTAGGTACTGTATTTTACGCATTAAAAACCTCGGGTTGTTAACATTAAGTTGGGTCTCAATCAACAAGACCAAGAATACATTGCCATCTCAAATAATTGCCACAAATTGAACTAGTGCCACTATTGTATTCAGACAGCTATTATTCATTTCTTTCCTACTTTTGTCACTATCAAAATAAAGACATATAAGTATGTTTGTCTATTAAAAATCTGTCTGATAGTAAATAGTGAGTCTGATAATAATCTCAACGAGGCAATGACCTTTTTTCATGTAAAGATGATAAGAATTGATAAAAACGAAAGGCCTACCGCACTCGTATCGGATTTTTTGCTTCGTCTCGACATTGTATGAAAATCCAGACTGTATACCTAATGATAACTCGGACGTGTGATATTATGGGGTTTATAAAATATTATTTTACTTGTTAGATGCTAAGAAAAAGGATTTTCTTCTACTCGTACATCGGTTTCAAGATTTTTACCTTTAGTTAACTACAAACGGATAGACCAAAGTTGTTTAACAAGAGACTGTTGTTGCTGAGTTGTTTAACAACAGAAATAACATGTTGTTTAACTTGTAGCCAAATAATTCTGTTACAAACATAACTTTTTTACATGGTCTCATGGCTAATACAACACACAAAACCTGAGCACTAAGTAAATAAAGTCTAAAATGGCGTGACACTGCAATTCTTGTGACAATGTAAATTTCATGTGACGATTTCTCCAAAAACGTCTGAAATCTTTTGAAATATTTTTCAAAGCAAATAATAGCTCATTAACATGACAATACTCTAAACTGTTCATTATTTTAAGATGAATTGTTATATTTATCTCCGCTGAATGTACATTATGTACAACAAAAGATAGCTACCTAAGCATACATATGAAGCAATTTATTTTGATTTTTTTATTTGTTAAAAAGACGTTGCTCTACACTAGGATTGTCTCCTGTGTCGTAAGTGCGTTTACAAACATACAATTTCAAATACAGTTTTTCCGTGTGGGAGCCGAACCTGCGACATGTTAAGCCTTAGCCAATTACCCAATAACTGCGCCAACCGTGCAGTCAAATCTTTTTTATTTATTACCTTTTTCATGCCGTATAAAACATTCGGTATTTTAAAGAAGTTAATTAGACATACTTTCCTTCAACAAACTAACCTTCTAAAAGTGATTGGAGGTTCATACAAAAACCAGAGTTTATCATTTTCACCTAAATTATTTGGAGAAAACCACCATAGATGGGGTCGACTATGGCCGATGTACCCGAGGCCCCGACTAAGAGTACCTACCTTCGAGAAGAAACGGATAGGTTATTAGTTAGTAATAGTTCGACATTCCCTCTTGACTTAACCCTCCGAAGGCGGCAGAAGTAAATTAATAAGTTTCCCCATAAAAAAATATCATTTAAGAAATACAGTCATCATCATCATCATCATCATCATCAGCCGGAACACGCTGACAAAGGCCTGTTCCTAAGAAATACAGTGATAAAACACAAACAAATAATAAAATAAAATACTTAATTAAAATAACAAATGTCTAGTACCTATTCACGGCAATTAAATTATTTCCCAAACACATTAAGAGGCCTCTAACGCTTAATGATAATTTATTTTATTATACCTATTATTGTTTTTTTTTAATAGTCAGCCCAAT